TTTGGGATCCATGCCTATGCACAGTGGGGTGGTACTCAATTTTTCTTTCTGACAAGCAGCCCTGATGCCTCACGGATGCTTCTCCAAAGGACTCTTCAGTTTCATGGGGAATGTGTGAGGAGGATATTGCTGGGAGTGGGGGAAGCAGACAGTCCCTATGTACACAAAGGGCAAGATACAGAGCGCTTCTTATCCTGCCTAGAGAATGGAATGAAGATAGAGAAGAACCTACCTCAAAGGCTGGTTGTGAGAATAAAATGGAGGAAAGGAGAGTTATGTAAGTTGCTCTGGGTCCCCATTGTGGAGAGAGGTAGGTTGTAAATGAAATAAATAAATATATCTGAAGATGGGGGCAGATAAAAAGTTGATGGGTAGGTAGGTTGGATGGAGAAAAAATGCAGGGAAAAGTGAGGATATGGGGCTGTCAGAAGGAGTTAAAGAGAAAATAGTGTGGGGAAAGGGGTACAGGGGGAAATGAGGTGTCCCCACCTCTTCCTTTTCTGAATCCAGCTTGAACATCTGGCATTTCTCCATATATTGCAACAGTCTTTGTTGTAAAATCTTGAGCACTTACGAGGCGGGAACAAAAAGGATGTGATTCTCTCTCATGACTCTCACATGTCCCTACATGTATACCCTTTTATAAAAGAAAAAAATCTTCCAAGATAGTTCATTTTGGGGGTGAGAGGTTAACTGTAGGTGCAGAATCAACTGGGTGGAATTTGTTCTGTGTAATCTATTTGACTGCTTCACTGGACATCACTAGGTGGCCAATAGAGAAATGGAATAGATTACATAACCGGAAACAGAAGATGAAGATCTATTCTCTCTTACCTGTAGAGCTGCCATCAATAGCAGCCTGACTCTTACAGCAGGGGTTGCATCTACCACTCCCCTTTTCCTCCCCTCTGCCACAGTTCCACCTTTCCATGTGCCTGGCTCATGTGGCAGTGGCTGCAGCTCTCCCTTTTTTCCACCAGCCTGCATGGTACATGTGTTTGCAATTCTGGCTGTCCCCTCTAACCGCCTGTCTGGCACATGTGGTGGTAGCTCTGACTATCTTTTGCCTGCCCAGCCTTCTTTGGAGGTGGCAACAGCTCCTGCTTCTCTGTCTGCCCCACAGCTATCCTCAAGGGGATGATCCATTATGTTGTCTGTGCAATCATAGACCATATCACTCTCATTGTGGGGTATTTAACTCCATTTTCCAGTTTGGGAGATTTTAACATCGTTTGGCAAACCTAGGGAGTCCCCCTGGAATTCAGAAGAACAGCCCATATCTGAATTTGGCCCCTTTATCTGGGTCTGTTGATCTATATGGAGCCCTAGTTCAGCATCCAATACAGAACAGGTAAATGCAATTCACTCTGAAATTTTTGAATATGTTTAATATGGATCTAATTATTCCTACTAATTCATATTAAAAATCAAGAAGAAAAGCATAAGAAAAGGAACAGTCTCTGTATTTGGTTTTAAAGTTGATCAGTGTATAGGTTATTATTTCAGAATCATTGCAGCAATGAATGGAATTGACTGAACTGTAGATCAGGGTACAATACTTGTAAGTTATAATTATTCAGAAATTGATAGTATCTTGTTACTGCATGCAGTCAAGGAAACCTGTACTCTAAAAATCTGTCCATGTGACAGTGGTTCTTTTCCTTGAACAGACTCTACATTCACAAACTAGTTTCATGAGCCCAGCATGGAAGTGGGTGTCTCCTCTCTGCAGCCTCTAGAGCTGCTTGCTCAGACTTAACACTGGCTGAAGCAAAATGTCCTGGAGAACAATACTATTATGCTGTCCTGTAGCTACAGTGTGGCTATTGGGAGCGCCCCAGCCCCACAAGATATTTTTGAGAAGATTTTTTTGAGAAGAACGGGGGGGCTGCACACATGGGCCCCCCACTTTTGAGAAGAAGCAGGGGATGGTATGCACCCCTTTCCCCCCCCCTGCATGATTTAAAGGTCCCTCCAGCTGATCGGCAAGCTACGTGCTCCCTGCTGATCAGCTGAAGAGCCCTTTAAATCTTGCAGGCGGGGAGGGAGAGGGGTGGCCACCGGTGGTTGGGCTTGGGGGCAGATTGGAGCTGACATAAAAATAATGGCAGCCCTACCAGAAAAAAAAATTGCCCCACTAGCCACAAATCCTGGCTACAGGCGTGCTTCTAACTCTGTGTCAAGAAACTGGTCTCCTTTAAGAGAGTTTTTCTGCCTAAGTATTAGCTTTCTTGACTGTAGATGTCAGCGGCTTCTTATCAGAATTGTTGCTTAGGCTGGCAGAACTGATTAACTTGCAGCAGCTGAGAACTGTTATTTAAAGTGGTTGACATCTTGCGGTTTAGAGATCTATCCTTGTAACAGCTTTCTTTTGATAAATGGTTAATTGGCTAAGGGTGATTGCTAGCATAAGAACACCTATGTAGAATAGGCCGCTTGAGAAGACTCAGAGAGAGAGGAAAGTAGCTGAGTAATAATCCTCAGAATTCTGGCTTTTCTTTCTGCACTGAGAACTTCAGCCCCACCAGAAAACTTTTTGCCACACAAGCCACAAAATCCTGGCTATGAGTCTGCTCTTATGAGCTTCCCCAGATCTACTAATCTTGAAGACACCATGTAGAACAGTGACCCACACATGAGCATTAAGGATCTTTGAGTAGGTGAAGGAACTCTACCTATTGGATTACAAGTGATAAAAGAATAAGAGAACCCAAACAGGATAAAAATAAAAAATTATTTGTAGTGAAGGAAGTATCAAAGTCAAAAGTCAAAAGTTTATTACAGTCATAAGACCAGCCACAATAGGTATAGATAAAAAGGACAATTTAGAAATTTTAAAATGGATAAATACATAAAAAGTGAAAAACATGTGTATATGTATCAAAATAGTAAACAAAGCACACTCCATTAATTTATTTCCCAGCAACTGACATTTCCTTCATCAAGTGATTCTGCTTTCTGAGTGCTATCACACAGAATTTTGCTACTGTATATGATATAGTTCTCTGGCTGTCATCTAATAGACTAAAATCTATATAATACTGTGGTGGTTTAAATCTACAAAATAACGGAATAATTCTCAACTTTATTTCGGCTTGCATGACCAAAAGTCTTAAGCACACTTGTACACACTTATAAAGTACCATTCATACATAAAAAAAAGAAAAGAAAAGTAAACAGAGAGATACATTGTAAATGATCACTATCTGGTCTCACATCAACCTTGAATTTAATATTACTATTGTAAAGGTTCAAGGAGGTCATTATGTAATCAATTGTTGAGTGCTTTATTCCTGACAAATAGGTAAATTGGCCTGGACAATTGTCAGGTAATGAACCATTCAGGATGATAAGATTCAACCTATATGCCATTTGAGTTAAACATGCCGCAGTGAAATTTGCTATTGGGTCTAATGATTGTCGGTTAACATATATTTGGGGCATGGTGGTGTCTAGATTCTCTATACCAAACTGATTTAATATTTCATTATCATTTTGACCCAACCTGGTATTGAAGTCACCCCCAACTATTACAGATGTCATAGGAAATTTTCTCATGAAACAGCGTATCTGCCATTCTACTTGTTCCCAGATATTTTTGATGTCTGACTGAGAGGGTTGGGGATGCAAATATACATTAATGCATACAATTTTACAGTTTTTAAAAGATATACAGGCAGCTATACCCCAGTTACCAGCAATATCTAATTTCTCTACAGTGGCTCTCAGTGTGGTTGATACAAATATACTCAGGCCTCCTGAAGGTCTTTCTCCTCTTGAATTAACAGTAGCAGGAAGTAGGACTGCTATATAATTTGGTAATTCAGATGCTTCCTTCATCCAGGTTTCCTGAAAAAATATGATGTCATACACATTATATAGCTAGTAAACTCTCCATCATGACTCCTGGATCGCTAACCTGCTATATTCCAAGATAGAAGAGTCAGCGATTGTCAGTCCAGTTGCCCAATCTTCCCCAGAGAGTTGTTATTGTCATTAAAGATACAACCATTGGTACTGACATCAGTAACTTTCTTCACTGGATTCTCCTAAGTTCTCTTGAGCTCTTTCTTCACTGAATTCACTGAGTTCTTCACTGCGTTCTCTTGGTGGAAAGTTGTAGAGAGATTGCCTGGATTCCGTAAATCCACCACTGCTGGCATTAGAGGGGTCGGGAGCATTTTTGTCTCTTGGCAGCTCTCTAACACGTTTAGCACTGAAGAGAGATTTGACCTTTGATGTATTGGATCATTTTTAATTTCCAGGAGCTTATCTCTTATCACTCCTAGTCTGGTAGTAATTATCCATTGTTCAGAAGGTGGGAGGGCTGAGAAAGAGTTGAATAATTACTCTTCAACTGAATTTTCAAGGAAGGAGTGTGTTGGAACCATATTCAGATCTGAAGTCAGGCACCTGAGCCAGGTCATTCTGTACTACTACTGGTGCCGCTTCTGGAGTTCTCAATCTCCATATGGTGGTCATTTCCCCCCCAGCTAGGTATCAAGGGGTTTACAATCAGGTTATTAAAAACTCTGGCAGGAAAAACCCCTTTAGAGTACAAAAATTCTTTCTGGTTCAATTTCCAGTTAAAAGTATCAAGTAGCAGTGATGTGAAAGTCCTTGGCCTGAGACCCTGGAGAGCTGCTGCCAATCATAGTAGACAATGCTGACTCTGATTTACCAATGGTCTGATTCAGTATAAGGCAGCTTCATACATTTACATATGTACTGTAGCCATTGGCAGCCATTTCCCTTTTATGTAATTGTCTTTTAAAGCTTTTTGAGCTTAACTCTAGGAAACTTTATTTTTTTTTGTTTTAAATATTGTGTATAGTTTGAGTCTATAATAACATGAACAGCGTGTTTTGCATTCTGTTTATCAAAGCTGTATGTAAAAATAATTTGATGCATCTTCATTATAGAGGAGTCAAATACAGAAACAAGTAAAAAAATCTTAAATGAATTTGGGTTATGCTATCAGGTTTTTTTCCTTATTGTAGGTGTGTCGTCTACAAGACTTAGTAAGGAAAAGTGAACAAGGCCTTGGTACTGCTGAAGGGCACATCTCCAGTCTCCAGGAAAACCAAGAAATACTGCAAAAAGAACTAGAATTAACCAGGACAAGATTGAGGGAAGCCACAGATTCTCTGTATAATGTTGAGGTAACAACATACCTCCTTAGCATATGTGAACTCCATCACCTTGTTCCAGGTGCTCACAGGATCTTGGGTACATATCTAGTCTGCATTCAGACACCATGATAAACTATAGCTGTAAATTGTGACTAGATCAAACTGTGATTAGTTGTGACATTCAAAGGAAAAGTCCAGCAAACTGCTGTTTGTTGGTTAGTACCACATCAAGTTTTCACATCAGGCTTTGGATCTTGTTTGTTAACTGTAGTATGTATGTATTAATTGTGGTTTGTTGTGATATTTGAATTAACAAGCCACAGTTTTTTGAGTAGCACTGCCCCTCATGATTACTAGGCCACAGAGATGGCAGTATGTTCTCCCTCCAAGCAGGTGGGAAAGAGGCAAGAAGCTAATAGCCCTGGATTTTTGCACAAGTTGGTATTTGTTACATATGTCTGGTGGACCAGCTAGATTCTGTTACAAAAACTATGGTATATTGTGACATCTAAATGCAGTCATGGACTTCTTCCCAGTTTACTGCACTGTCAGAGACACCTTCACTTTTGTATCACCACTGCTAACATTGAGCTTCCCCTGAATGCACATCAGAGTATCCAACTAGCTTTAAGTCATCATCTGTGCCTTTATTCATCTTTCGTTTCATTTTGACAGACTGGGTTTTTTTCCTGCCAAGTCACAGCCGCTCATGGCAACCCCATAGGGTTTTCAAGGCAAGAGACGTTCACAGGTGGTTTGTCATAGCTTGCCTCCGTGTAGTGACTCTACTATTCCTTGGTGGTCTCACATCCAAATACTAACCAGGGTTGACCCTGCTTAGCTTCCAAGAGCAGACAAGATTAGGCTAGCCTGGGCTATCCAGACTGTTAGAAAGAAACAAAACAACAATTCTTTGCTGATTTAATTTCTTTAGTTACCTAGAGTGATAGGTGGTTGGAGTTGGAAGGAATCTTGAAGGTCGTCTAGTCCAACTCCCTGCTCAGTGCTGGAATATACAACTACAATATCCCCAATAGATGGCCATCCATCCTCTGAAGAAGACATCAAGTGAAGAATAGCCTACTGCATCCTGAGACACTCTACAGTTGAGAAAATTCATCCTCATATTTAGCCAAAATCTGCTTGTAATTACCATCCATTTGTTTTTGTTATATCCACCAGTGGAAGAGAACAACAGTCTGCTTCACCATCTACATGACAGCCCTTCAGATATTTGAAGATAGTGATAATGTCTTTTCTTTTACATGCTTTGAAAACCCTTGTTCTTTTTAATAAATAGTTCACAAGAAAAGGAAGCCATCGTGTTGACAGCAGTAAGGATGGGCATGAACCGGCTGATGAACTAATGTGCATCACGAATTTTGGCTAGGTCATGGTTCGCAAAGCAATGTTTGCAAACTGAAGAACTGTCACAAACTTCCCCAACTTTTGGTGCAGTTCATGGCAATTCATGAAGAGCAGGAAGCACGGGTTTTCTGTTCTTCATGAAAAGCAGCTGAGCTCAGCTGGTTTAAATGGCTCTGAGCCATTTAAACCAGCTATTTAGAAACCCCTGGTTTCTGCTCCCCGTGGATTTTCGTGCAGAGCAGAAAACAGAGTTTAAATGGCTTGGGATCATTAAATGTACAAAAAAGCACAAAGTGTGTGGCTGTCAGGTGCAATTATAATAAGCACAGTGATCTGTTAGAGTATCAGAAACACTGATTCATCTGTTCAGCAAAGTCACAAAGGTCTCTTGTATAAAATGATATATAAAGAACAGCAATGTATTACAGCTAGTTCAAGTCCTGCCAACCAGCTGTTTGGAAACCCTTGCTTTCTGCTCCCCGTGAAAAGCCACAGGCAGCAGAAAGCAGGGGTTTAAACTTTAAATGGCTTGTGAACTGATACAAACCAGATTGGTTCGCATACCAGCCTCCCTGTACGTATGGGTTCATGGTTCAGTTTGTGGTTCAGCCACAAACCGAATCACAAAAATGTGTTTCATGCCGATCCCTAGACAGTAGTCATTATAGTAATTAAGCAAAAAACATATCTCTTGACTAGGTAGTTAATATTAGTAGTATTCCTGAATTTGGAAAAAATACTGATGTTGCTTCAGACCAATATATTGGCATGGAAAGTATTTTTTGTATTTTAAATCTATATTGTGAACTTTGTGTTTCTAGGGGGAATTAGAACAGGAAAGACAGCAACATGAAGCCATGATCGTAGCCATGAGAGAAGAGGAGAAATTCAAAGTTGACAGAATGGCCCATGATCTGGAAATTAAATGGACAGAAAACCTTCGGCAAGTATCTCCCCCTCCCTTTCATTATAAAGGATGTATTGACTTTAATAATGTGGTATTGCTAGGAGGCATTAAGGACATAAGAGCCAGGCTAGATTAGGCCAATGGTCCATCAGTATCCTGTCTCACACAGGCCAACCAGTAACTCTGGAGGGTCAGCAACACGATATAGTGGCCAATGCGATGCTGTCTCCTGGCTCTGGTATTCAGAGGTTTACTGACTGTGGAGGTTCCCTTTAGTCACCATGACTAGTAGTCGCTGGTAGGCTTGTCCTCCATGAATGTCTGATCCCCTTTTAAAGGTATCTGCAGTACACTGCATCACTACATTATCTGACAGCGAATTCCCTATTTTAACCACTAACTGTGTAAAGTAGAATTTCCTTTGGTCCATCCTGAATCTACTGCACATCAACTTTATTGGATGCCTTTGAGTTCTAGTATTTTGGGAGGGGGGGGGGAGTTCTCTATCATGTCTCTTTTCAAAACTGAAAAGTCTGAGATACTTCAGCCTTCCTCATAGGAAAGGTGCTCCAACCCCTTAATCATTTTGGTTGCCCTCTTCTGTACTTTTTCCAGCTTGGCAGTGTCGTTTTTGAGATAGGGTGACCACAACTGCACACCGTATTCCAAATGAGACTGCACCATAAATCTGTATGGGGGCAATATAAAACTGGCTTTTATTTTCAATTTGTTTCCTAATAATCCCTAGCATTAAAAGTGCCTTTTTCACCGCTGCAGCGCTCTGAGTTGACAGTTTCATTCAGCTATCTGCTACAACCCCAGGGTTTCTTTCCCTCTCACTCTCAGCAAGTTCAGACCCTATTAGCAAAAACTTGAAGCTGGGATTCTTTGTTCCTATGTGTATCACCTTAGACTTACCTACACTGAACTGCATTTGCCATGTAGTTGCCCACTCACCCAGTTTGTGGAGCTCTTCACAGTCATCCTTCATTTTTGCAATCCTGAATAAATATGTGTTATCTGCAAACATGGCCACTATATTGCTCACCTCCAGTTCCAGAACATCTATGAAAAGATTAAATATCACTGGCCCCAATACCAATCCTTATAGGATTGCCACTGCTTACTTACTTCCATTTAGAGAACTGTCCATTTATTCCTACTCTCTGCTTCCTGTTGTTTAACTAATTTTAAATTCATAAGAGGACCCACCCTCTTATCCCATGACTGCTAAGCTTACTCAGGAGTCTTTGAGGCAGGGCTTTCCTTTGCAGAAGCCATGCTAATTTTCCCTCAGCAGGTTTTGTTCTTCTATGTGCCTAATAATTCTATCTTTAATTACAATTTCTAATAATTTGCCTGGGACAGACATTAGGCTAATTTCCTGGTTCGCCTCTGGACCCCTTTTTAAAAATGGGTGTAATATTTGCTACTTTCCAGTCTTCTGGTATAGTGGCTGAATTTAGTGATAAGTTACATATATGGGTTAGTAGATCAACAATCTAAGAAGTGTATGCCATCAGGACCTGGATACTTAGTGGCTTTTAATTCCCCCAGTAGGTCTAGAACTTCATTTCTCATTACATTTTGACTCAGTTCTTCAGACTCCATTCCTGAAAATAATGGCTGTGGCTGCATACATGTCCCACAGTACACACAGATGCAAATAATTCATTGAGCTTCTCTGCCACCTTCCCATCTGCCTTTGGCCATCCTTTTATTCCTTGGTTATCCAAAGGAATGATCATCCCAATTGGTTCTCTGGATGGTTTCAAGCTCTGAGTATATTTAAAGAAATGCTTATTGTTTGTCTTGATGCCTTTAGCAATCCACTACTTAGATTCTATTTTTGGATGCCTAATAATTAACTTACACTTCTTGCCAGACCCTGTGCTCCCTTCTGTTGGGACAGACCTTCCACTTTTTGATAGAAGCCTTTTTGCTTTCTGTGACTTCCATCCAGGTCTTAGGCATACAAGTATTCTTATAGACTTGGCAGTACCTTTCCTAACCTGGAGAATGTCATCTATCTGGGCTTCAGTTAGTGTGGTTATAAAAAGTTTCCAAGCATCCTGTAAGGATTCGGCCCTCTTGTGTTTCCCTTTCAGCTTCCTTCTAACTATTCCCCTCAGTTTTGTAAAGTTCCCTCTTTTGAAATCAAATATGACTCTTGGACTTTAGGGGTAACTTTCCATTGACAAGAATGCTGAATTTAGTAGCACTGTGATCGACAGCTCTCAGTTGATACAACAACATCAACATCTCTCACCAGGTCTTGAGTCTGGCTCAGAACCAAGTCCAAGATCACTGTCTCTCTGGTTGGCTCTGTGACCAGCTGTTTCAGTGCACAGTCATTTATGAGGCCTAGGAATCTCATTTCTACAGCATGTCTTGCGTACATGTTTACCCAGTCTTGCTAGTTTTATTAAGGCATGGTGTGTGTTTTGGTTCTGTTTTTTCTTCTCAGGCAGGAATGTAGTAAACTTCGGGAAGAGCTGAGACTTCAGCATGAAGAAGATAAAAAGTCAGCAATGACTCAACTTTTGCAGCTGAAAGAGAGGGAAAAAAGTGCTGCCAGAGATAGCTGGCAAAAGAAAGTAGAAGATCTGTTGGATCAGGTAACTGGAATTATTTACAAATGTTACCATCTTTTATATAATCTAAAAGGGATATACAGCTGCAGAACTAATTAGTTTAGAATTTGTGTAATAAGAATGGCCATTGTGATATTAAACTGCTACTGTGCATATATTAAGAAATATAACTGTTCCATGCATCACCAGCTAACTGGACAAATGCCTATGAAGGCTAAATCATGGCACCTGTCCTCTCCAGTGTATAGCTCTGGAATAGGAACCTGTGTGACTGTCACGTCATGATCTAGAGTCATGGGGAATCCTGGTTCAAAATAATGGAAAAGCATTGAACACCAATCCATTTATCGTCCCACGCAAAAGCTCAGGTTGCTCAGCACATGACAAATAACAATACTGTCCCAAATTTTAAAACATTATGTTATTAAACTATCATGGCCAGTATAGCCTATAAAAAATCAACACAGCCTAAGAATGTTACAGTTAAGTGTGAGAAACAAATTCACATTTTGACTAGGATTGCCAGGTCCCATTTTCTCCCCGGCGGGGAAGGGGTGGGGCTGTCCCTGAAGCAATGACATCATTCAGAGTGATGTCATTGTGTCAGTGATGCAGCACACATGAGCACACCCCCTGCTTTCCCCCAACCATTTAAAGGGGAAAATGGTTGGGGGAAAGCAGGCATCCCTTGCACCTGCCCTGCAAACGGTGAATTTGTGGGTTGCCGGGCAGGAGCCGGCAGCCCCCATGTGGAAAGAGCAGGCACCATGCATGCCTACCCTGCAAGCCACAAATTGGCTTGCAGGGCAGGATCTGGCAGCCCCCACTTGGAAAGAGCAGGCATGTGCCTGCCCTGCATGCCACGAACTCCCGGCTTGTGGGGCAGGCATGCACGATGCCCACTGGGGGCATGGACGACTGTTGGGGCAGGGCTTCCCCCCACCAGCTAGCTGGCTGGCATCTGGGAAGAGCCCCAAAAGTTACGGGATCCTCTGCCCCCACCTGGGGACTGGCATCCCTAATTATGACCTGATCTTCCAAAAGCCATGTAGAATACACACAGTCTCTACAACTAAACAAATGTATAGACATGTGCTGAACTGAAGATTGTCTGGTAATAAGTATAGCACATAAAGAAAATCTGTTCCCATCAGAGACTACCTGGTTTTGTGTCTGGAGTGCTTCATAACTACAAAAAATACCTGAAAATAGCAAATAATTGTGGTGGGTTCTCTATAAGCAAATGACACATTTTAACATGTTCAGTGGACAGCACATCTATAGCCACATTTCAGATGTACGAAAATGAGACACAGTTAAATAAAGGGAATCCATCTATGCCCTTCAAGTCAAAGGAAAAAAAATATGACTGACAGTTTGCTTTAGAATATTAAGAAGCTTAGGTTTAGCATACTCATCAGAGGTGGTTCTGAACTGTTTCACTTGTTTGTTTTTGCCAGTGCATGTAACTATCAAAGTGTATACTGTCTTGCATACTTTAAAAATAATAGTAAATGTATATAGAGATATCAAAGAAAAAATCAGAATGAAAAAAATTCAGTATATACATGGATACCAGGAAATGAGCCACAAAATATAAAAATACATACGGAGGAAAAAACCCAAATCTCGACAAATCAAATCCCACATTTTCGTTATCCAAGTCTTTTGTGGTTATTTATTGATTGATACATATTATCTAACTTATTGCACATCCATGTTTCATAGTCTAGGATTTCTGAAATTCATTCAACATTCAGCATTTTGTACACTGTACTGCATGTAACAACTTTGGGAAAAAGTGATTTGATTTGTGTGTTGCATTTCAATATTGAAGTTTTCTTTTTGCACAATTAGATTTTGAGAAAAATACTACTCATGCTTTAGGAAATAAATTGAGGAAGGGAAGGCTGTAAAACATTGAGCCGATTAAGGTCCTTATTGGTTTAACAGATGAAACAGTGATGGACATTAATCTAAAATGGCTGATGTCTGAATCATAAATCATATATCAAGCAGTGAAATTACCCATCATTCACTTTTTACAACTGTACTGCTCATATGTTATGCCTGATGTATATGGTGTTGTGCCACTTATACATTCTGATAGTACATCTTCAGCTTGTTAGTTATTATTATATAAAATATAGTTTTGCTATGGATCTGTAAATTTTATTTATTTATTTAAAATATTGTGATGCTGCCTTTCCACCCGATCAGGATCCCCAAGGCAAATAAGGAAAATTGATATCTAAATCTAAAAATAAAATACAGGAAGTTTCAGTAGAACTAAAACTTTGGGGAGAGGCTTTAATAAAAGAGGCTAACATATCGTATCATGTTGTAAGATTGTTTAAAAACAATAGAAAATGTATATATTAGCTATTTCAGTAGTATAGCTGAACATTTCATTTAAAATATTTACAGTGATGTACCAAAACACTAAATCTAAAAGGAAGCAGATACTTGACCTTTCTGCCATTGCGTGTTTACTGAAGGATCAGACACATTGATTTGGACCAAAACAAAAATAATTTGAATAAGGAACATAATAAATTTCTGAGATGTAAACCAATTTTTTTTCTTTTCAATTTTTAACTTTAAAAAGTGATAAAAACATTATAATTAATACATGTGATTTCCTTATGTGTTTCATGGATTTATGTAATAAACCATAGCAAAAAAATTTGTGTTAGTTTTCCCCCAAACAATTTCCAGCATATTTTTCCTTGTGAGATTAATATTAATGTTTTGTGTTTTACTGTCCCTTCTTTATCTCATCTTCTTAGTTATTTCTGAATGTTTCCCTTTATTCCTGTGATCTTTCCTTCATAGCGGCACTGTCTGGGTGAAGCTTTGCATAAATCTATCAGCAATGTAAGTGAGTTGCACTTACAATTTGTACATGAGGGCATGCTTGCACTTCTCAGCTTGCATTCTGGCCAGTGGTGCTTCAAAGCATTAGCCTCTGAACTAAAAAGAATGATGTTCAAGGGAAGTGATTACACGTTAATTTCATCTGAAGCTCTGTGCTGCATTCATTCATGTGTATACGTGTTCATATCATTCAACATCAAGCATTTCACAGTCATTTTATGTAACATAAAAGCAAGCTTGCAGACAGTACATGTGCACATTATAAAGCTTTTTATACAGCATGAAATGTGTGGTTCTGTGTTACAGTTGACAATATGTAGTAATGCAACCCAGTTATAGTTGAGCTACTATATTTCCTTCCATTGTTTCTACAAACAGGGATCCAAACAACTATGCACAGCACACTACACGTTCACCAGTGCTTTTTTGCTCCCTTTGTGAAATCCCTCACACCCCCCAAATAAGCTAGCCTTTGAGGGTCAAGGGACCCTCTGGAGCAGCATGCAGTAAAGCACAGGTAATGCCACTGGGGGAAGGGGAAATTACTGACTCCTTGGTGTCCATGTAGAAGTGTCTTGACTCTGAGACAGGGCAGTTTGGACACTAGCCAATATTTTAAGGTAATGTTCAGTGAAAATGCGACTATATTAATAACTGTTATCTTCAGTTCCAAAAAGCAGTCTGAACCTCTATGGCAGTGACTTATGATAGTAAAGAGTGTGGGGGTAGAACTCTATGGCTGTGCCACAGTTTGTTAATACAGCTACATTGAGTTCAAATCTAGAACTGTCTCAGAGGGTAAAAACATGGGCAAGTTTGTAGTCATGGCCTGCAGTTCTAGACAGCCTTAAAACGGAAAGAGCACAACTGCAGCTAGAATTGTTTTACTGCAGCTGGTCACCTGTTAGAATTGGCACACAGTGTTTTTGTTTAAAACAAGTTTTCTAATTCAACTGGGTGATCATTTGTCAATCATTTGGATAATATCTCCAGCTGCATGTTGCATTGTAGCTCAGTAGTAAAGCATATCCCCAGTAATAATAAACTGCATCTTAGGTCCCATGTTCAGTCACTGTGGCATCTCTTTTTAAAAGACCTCTCTCTGCCTAAACCCTTGGAGAGAAACTGCCAGTTAGAATAGAAAATACTGAGGCTAGATGGACCAGTGATCTGACTTCATGTAAGGCAGCTTCTTATGTCTTCCTACCACCCTTAGATGTAGCTGTATAGGATTGTTGACATAGTGAATAATGAAAATATTTTTATGTGACTTACAAATGTAGCTTTTAAAATGAGCTGTTATTTTATTATTATTTTATTGGTTGAAGAGGAAAGGGGGCTGCACTAAGGCAAGATAAAGAAACGAATTGGTGCAGAGGGAAAAGAATCTTTAATAATTGTTCAGTCCCTATGTGTTTCGCGTGCAGCTTCATCAGGGGGAATCTTTCTGTTTCTTTTTAGTTCCGTTCCCATACGTACACATAAATAGAGTGATTTTATTGTTTGCCCAAATGTCAATATAAATGAGAAAAGAAAAATAAATGCTCAAGATACTTATGCTAATTAACACCATTAGATTGTTTCTTTGATTGTGTGCTATTTTGAAGTAGTACCCCTTCCATAAATCAATATATCTACGTCTCAACATGGCCTCATATGTTGATACTTAAAACCTATGCACCAAGACCATCGAGTCAGAAGGGAGATTTTCAGAAGACTTAGGGAATGTTACCCCCCACACACTCACACACACATGGTTTACAGAAAAAAATATGAGGAGTATTTTAAAAGGAAGGGGATTTAGAAACACCCCAAACAGGAATGTATCTGTGCAAGTGCATACAAAATCAACTTATAAGCCATGAGAAGGGAAGGAGGAGCCAAGTGAGCCCACACAAGCTGGTGCAGCCCACCACTACCTGTCCTCTGCAAGGTGGCTGGTGGGGGGAGAAGGAATAGGAGCTACCCCCACTGCACTAATAAGGTGGCAATGTTGCGGGTGAGTGTGGAGGAGCAGCAGTCAGTCACCCCCTGTTACCCCCCACACACTTCAGGTGGACAGGCAGGGGAAGGAGGCCAAGAATACCCACCTCCAAGAGCAAACTGAAGGACAGAGAGGTGGGCAGATTGAAAGGTGGCCTCGCTGGAGGCAAACAAGTGGCCTGGCAAGAAGGGGGGGGGCTCCACTGCACCTTCCCCCACTGAAACCACCACTGACAAAGCAGTGTATGGAGTGAGCAAATAAATGGACAGGGGGAGCCTCCCCCAATGTCTGAAACCACCATTGATGCAGCAGGGCTGGAGGTGAGCAAGAAGGATAGGAGGCCTCTGCTGCTGGACCCAGGAGGAAGATGGGCAAGCAAATGGTGAGGGTGGAGGGAGGGATGCAATCAGGCAAAATCCCCCCTGTGAGACTCTTGGTGCTTGAGGGTAGGTCTTGTTTTTTTTTTAAAAAAAAAAAAACCCAGCAGATTGAATATAAATATTAATAAAATGTTACACAGTTACAGATTTTTAATGTGGAGACGCTGATCAGATTCCGGTAAATTAATGAGAGATGATTGATGTTATTATTGATAACTGATAAAACTGAAAGAACAAGGTTTTAAATTGTGGAAGTAGGTTCCTTATATGAATGTTTGTCATATTAAAGGCTAGGAAGGTTTTGTAACTAAGTCTACTTACTAAGGTAATTGAGTTTTCCCTGCACATCCTTCTCTTCAAAAGAGAGTAGCAAGTAAGTTTCTAAAACTGGTTTATACAACTAATTGTATGAAACAACTAATTTCATGCATGTTTGCATTGCACATAAAACATCTTAATTCTACCACTGTTTTAAGTATCATTTTTGTAGCTTTATTCACAAGAGAAAATATTTTTACATACCAGATATGTTTCCTGATATGCTAAAAACAATAAATTAATTTAATTAATGTACACAGGATATTTTAGGGTTTCATTGTGACGATATCATCTTTAAACCTGGTCAGTGGTGAGTGGTCAGAAGCTGAACTGATGTAAAAAATTACAATGTAGTCTCAATTTATTGCTCTGCTCAGGCAATGTATAAGTTGAGAAGAGCATCTCGTTAAGTCACAGCAAACTCATAGAGACCCCATCTGCAGGACATTCCAGGCATGAGATATGCAGAGTGGTTGTCATTGCTTTCCTCTGCATAGCAACCCCCATCTTCATTGGTGGTTTCCCATGTAAGTACTGATCGTGGCCAACCCTGCTTAGCTCCTAAATCCTGACACAGTCAAGCCAATCTGGGCTAACTGGGCTGCTAATGTTTAAGTCAACTTCAGGGCAAATGCTGAGCAAGCCAACAAGAAACAAGCAAAAACACCAGCCCAGGAGTGAAACAAGTATTCGGGCTTCTGGCAGAACAAGTAGTCAATGCTGAAATCACAAGGACTCAGACTTTACACCAACTTTACTCTAACACAGTATCAGCTGGATAGCCATTGCATTTTAAGATATTCTGCTATAAAATGTTGGACGTCCCAACCATTTATGAATCTAGGGGCATGATGCAGCTACTGGAATAATTCTTTTTAGCAGTAGTAATATTAAGAGTAAGTGATCCACAGTGCTTTGGTGGTTTGGGCTCCTGTCATAAACTCCTAGGGTCATGATTATGAGATCCCACACATACAGATAATCAAGATTTTTTTTTTAAAAAAAATTGAGATTAAAAATTCATCAGATTTTAGTTTAATATTAAACTAATTGTAGTAGCCTTTAAATTTGCTGTGTGTATATGTATCTTTTCTAATCTCTACAAAATTAGTATAAAGAGTGATATAGTAAATAGTTTATTATTTAATTATTTCACTTGTGTCATGGGTGTAAAATCTGTTTTAAATGTAGGTTCACTTACAGATCTGCTTTAGTTTGTCTTTCTGAGAAATCAGCCATGATTGTAAATAGTGCTACATATATTCTGTTGGTGTGCTAATCTGTACTACATTTTGGCTGTGCACTATTATAGCCAAGTTCAAAACATATTAAGAATCACAAGAATGTTTTCTGCCAGTTTATCCAGTATGGAGGATCATAATCCCTACAGCCAGTATGTGATGGGGGAATCACTTTCAGGGAAGTATACCCAAACAGCTCCTGGGCCATTGATTGGCAATACCTGGTGGAGGGATTATCTGGGTGGCACCTGCACAAAGTGACATCTGCCCAGGAGGCCTCTGTAATAAACTTCCATGTTTGGGGTGGGGAAAAATGCCATCTAGGTTCAAACAGACACCCAGTTCTCTTGCCTGCTGATTTTTTTTGTCCATACAGTTTGGGAGTGCCCAGGTCACAATTACTGTGTGACTTACTTTTGACCTGACTGACTCCTGTGATGTCCCTCACCTTGCTTGTCAGGTTTATGGGTTGTATAGGAAAACTAGTGGGTTGTTCAAAGGCTGCCACTTGGCAATCAGTGATCTAGAAAGGTGTGGAATATGCAACAAGGTCAATCTGGGTGAAAAGGATTACAGTTAACGAAGCATGGTTTTTCTTTAAAAGCAGAAGAGAAAAATATTTAATTATTGGTTGTTATAGTGGTATTTATTAGATTCTGACAGTGCTGATGTAATTTATATAATGCAAACTGGCAACCTGTTTGTCAATTTTTCTGCTATTTTTAATTATAAAATAGTGTTATGTTTAATAATTTATTGGCTATCTAGTATGCCCAGAATTCTGTTAAAACCGTGTTATTGACAAAATAAGCCACAATCCTCTGATGGCATTTAAGGAAGCTTAAGAGCTTTTATTTTCTTGTGGTGAACCCCTGTCCTTCCTCTCCCCAGACTAGTACATCCTTCCACCATATCAGAAATTGTCTAATATAGTAAGAAAGTGCTGCAGTTGGGGCGGGAGTATAATCATGGAGAATAAAAATAATAGATACAGTCATTTTCTAATTTGACATTTGTACTAATCTTTGCTTTTCTCTGCATTAGATATCCCTGCTGAAGCAGAATCTAGAAATGCAGCTGTCTCAGTCTCAGACCTCAATGCAACAACTGCAGGCACAGTTTAGTCAGGAGCGACAGAGGCTTGCCCAAGAAATTGAAGAACTAGAAGAAGAGCATGAGCAAAGAAATAAGTCCCTGAAAGAAGCACACATGCTTGCATTTCAAGCTATGGAAGAAACAAAAGAACAAGAGCAAAAGGTGTGTTAATTTCATGTTTTGTGGCTTCTAACGTAAGGGAATGACTGAATACAGTGAAAGTAGAAAAGCTAATTATTTTAAAATATTATTAAAAGAAAAATCCTTGCCTTCTTTGGGCTCCCAACAAGTTTTCCAGACAAAGTAATTATTTACCTCCTGTATCTTAACAGTGGTCTCAGAGAGCAATGTCACCTAAATATTATGCCAACAAAATAGTAGACAGACATGAAGGAAGGAATTGGTACTGTGTTGAGTGCATGTGCTCCACCCTCTCCTGGCTAAGATGACAATCAGTGGGTTGTTTCCAGTAGGCACTGGAGTCAGAAGGGCACGTCTGACAACACAGTAAAGGGAGAGCAATTTTTGTTTCCTCCGCCCCCCCACTGCAGACTGCCACATGATGCCCACTGCTGTTCCTCGGGGTCCCTTGAACCTGCAGTGGACTACAGCGAGAAGGAGAAGGACAGGAAAGTTCTGTTCCACTAGTGGAACGCCACCTTCATAAGAATGGAACATAAGAGTCCAGCTGAATCAAACCAATAATCCATCTAGCCCAGCATCCTATTTCATGCAGCAGCCAATTATTGTCCTGGAGGAATAGCAGACTTCTTTCTAATAGTTCCTGAATCTATTGCCCATTAACTTAATTGGGCAATCCTGGGGTCTAGTACTGTGGGACAGGGAGAAAAAATTCTCTGTCCACTTTCTGCACCCCATGCATAAACCTTTGTTATACGTCTCCTTGTTTCCTCCCCCCCAATGGAAAAGCCCAAGGCTTTTTAGCCTTTCTTCATAAGAAAGGTGCTCCAACCTCTTCACCATCTTGTTCTGCAGTTTTTGGCAGCTCTACAATATCTTTTTTGAGATGTGGTGACCAGAACTGTATTCCAATTGAGGCTGCACCATGCATGGGCATTAAAATTTTGGCAATTGCTTGTGTTTTACAAACTGCCAGGGAAGTCCAGACCAACATGTATATTAATGGATATTTTCTTTGCACCTTTGATTGGGTTGGTTAGCTTTTGTCTGTTGAAATTTTATTCTGCTGACCATGGCTTTTTTTCTGGGGGAACATACCGGAATGAGTTCCGGAACCTCTTTGACAAAAATTTTTTTAAAATGTTTAAAAGTTCATAAGGTTTCAATATACAGATTGAAAACTTTATTTCCCTCTTGAGAGTTCTTGCATCTCTTTAAAAAAAAAAAAAGCCCTGCTGCTGACCATAGGCATGGCCAGATACCACTGTAATTAATACTTGTAAACTTAATCAAGAGGGGAAGGGAAAGGAGTTTGTAAGCCGCTCTAAGACACCTTTGGGTAGCGAAGGGCGGGGTATAAATCCAATCTCTTCTTCTTCTTCTTCTTCCCCCTGCAGAAAATGAGAATATCACTTCAGTACTATGGGGTATTTTAGTGTACAAATAAAATGGCTGAAGAAAAAATGTGTATAGCCTCTCAAGTCTTTTCATTCATATTCTATTCATTTTTGTTACTAAGGCAGGATTGGGAAGGAATTGGAATGCCATCCCTTGATCCACCTTCATGTAACAGGCACTCTGAGCACAAAACACTACTGCTCAGTTTAGGCTAATCTGCAGAATGGGCACTGTCTTGTACCAGTTTGCCAGCATCAACCATTATGCTTGTCTCAGTCATGCACACAGATACAGACAAACAACTTCTCTTAATCAGGTCTCATAGGACATACCTGAATAAAGATAAGCAGAGGTGGTTTAACAGGAAAAGAATAATGAGATGAAAACCTTGCCTATCTCATTGTCAAAATATTTTATATCTATATAGAGAGCAATTCTTCTTCCAAATTTCTTAGGCACTTGAGGAACGTTTGCAGCAAAAGCATTCAGAGGAATTTCAGGCTCTAAAAGAAGCCCACAAACAAGCTATGGAAGCTTTCAAACTAGAAATGGAACAGGAACTACAGACTCTTCGTTTTGAACTGGAAGATGAAGGGAAAGCTATGCTAGGTACAGTACCTTCATGTCGCTTAAAATTTTGCTTCTGGTGAAGATGACAGATAGTAATTACTACCCAATATTTTGAAAGAGAAATATGGACTTTTCCATGCATTGAAGTACAACTTAGCCTTATTCAAATATGAACAGACTAGTTTTTGAGGAGTAATTTATTCCCCACAATGCACCCTTATTTTTCAGTATAAGCTATTTATATTTGTGCTGTTATCACCTATTCACAATTTTTTTCTCCCTCAGCAGAAGCTAAACCTGGCTATCTCATGATCTCACCACAAAGATCACACACACACACATATATCCCTTTTTGGCACATTGCATCAAACATATTGTGTTCTTGTATTCAGTGCAGTTGCATAAATTTAGTGGATTTGGGGAGGGGGGAAGAAGCCTGTGCCCACAATTCTAAAGAAAGAAAGCATGTTTTTATATGAGGGAAATATAATTAATACCAAGACAAACTGGAAAGAAATATAAACCAGCAGTATTTCAAGTTGGAAGTTATGAACACTGGAAAAGTTGAGCCTGATAGTATGATACAGAAGACTAATGAAATACGTACCTGTAGCTACAGTTGTGTTATATATCTTTTTCCAGTTGGTTAAAACATTTTTTCCTTTTTTGCTGGACCCCACTATCTTCACTCAGTTCCCCTCACTGGAAATATATGCTATTAACACTGGAGAGGGAATGCTTCACTGTTGCTTGCCATCCTCTGAAAGAACTATATTGAAGCTTTTTTGTTTGAGTGATAAAGAAATCAAACACTATACCCTCTAAATAACTAAATCTATATATTAATCGCAAAGTCAGCTAACCCGTAAATCTGGTGATACTTAAATCTGGTGACTGGAGCTGTGAATGAGCAAGACAGATCTTTCCCCAAACCTGAAAAGGGCCCAGATTTGCAGAAAAAGGTGAAATCTAAAAACAAAACGGGGGATTTTAAAAATCCCCAAATGATAGTAGGAGCACCTGTAGCTTTAAGCAACAGATTCCCTCAGTGGCTGTTGCTAGGCAACCAAAGTACTCCAGGTGGGCTTCTTTGAATAAAAAGGCAAGGGGAGGGGGCAGGGTCCTTTCCAGGCCTATTTTGGCCTTTGAGGAAGGACACCTTGGGGCCAGTCCTGGTCTAGGATTGCCAGCTGCAGGTTGGGAAATTCCTGGAGATTTTGTGGTGGAGTCTGAGGAGAGCAGGATGTGGGGAGGGGAGAGTAGCCATTTCCTCCAGGGGAACTAGGGTTGCCAACCTCCAGGTGGAGGCTGGAGATTCTCCGGGAGGAAGTGGCAGTTTTGCGGATGGACTGTATGGCATTATACCCTGCTGAAATCACTTCCCTCCCCAGATCTTGCCCTCCCTAGGCTCCACCACCAAATTTGCAGGAATTTCCCAACTTGGAGCTGGCAGTCATAAGGGGAACTCATCTTTGTGGCTGAGAGTTCCATTGTGTTCCAGGAGATCTCCAGGTTGGCACTCTTAGAAGGAGAGAAGGAATCCTGAAAAGGAGAGAGGCTATAGGGCTTTCACAAAGGGAAAGAGGAAATAGTGGGGAAGGGGGAAGTGAGATGCCTCTCAGAAGTCCTTGTGGACTCCCATTTGTAATATTACTAAAATAAGACTTCTTAAACATCACAAAATGGTATAAAGCATGTGAGGGAGCAGTGTTGCTGGCCACTAATGTTACAGGCACAGTCAGCAAGACTATTGACACTTATGCAACTACATTTCACTCAGGAACACCCCTAAGTGCTACTAAGTACTAGCTAGCTATTTGCCAGGAAAAGCTTATCAGCCCTAGCATACTTTGTAGAAAGGTACCTGGACCCTGAAAGGCCCTGGAAAGCACAGATGCTAAAAAACATTTAATGTTTAATTTGACATTCAGCACTATTTCATTAAATATATTATCATCGTTATGTTGTAAAACCTTTTCATTTTATTAATTCATTCCTTTTATTGCTGTAGTGACAACCTTTTTCAGTTAGGAGAGGGAAAACTAATTTATTAAAAACTGGGTTATTATTTGCCCTTCCAAAAACAACAAGTACTATTTGCAGTAATATAAATGCATTCCATTCTGTTGTGATTATTTGCAGAGTTATTCTGATTTTAAAGTTCTGCTTATTTTTTATTTACCAGCATCTTTGCGCTCAGAACTAAATCATCAGCATGCGGCAGCAATCGATCAGCTAAGGCATAACCATCAACAAGAATTGACAGCAGCTAAAATGGAACTTGAAAGAAGCATAGAGCTCAGCAGGCAACAGGTACATACCTTCCATAGAGCCAAAAGAGCATAATGCTTTTATCTACAGGTACATGGCATTTGCCTTATCTAATCTAGAGCATTTTTATCCCACCCTTCCTCCAAAGAGCTCAGAGTAGCCTACACGGTTCTCCCTGTGCGGTAGGTTAGACTGCGTGACTGGCCTAAGTCTTGCCAGTCCATATTACATTTCCTTCAAACTGGCTATATAGTTTAAACAATTTTGTGTAAGCCTTATTCTATTGATATCCAATTGCCAGTCATGTATTTACTGATGCACGGGGGGTCAAGTGGAGAAAGGGTGTGTTGTCTTTACCTTCGAAAACTAATTGAGCTGTTCCCCCCCACTTATTTTAATAGCTAAAACACTGTTTTGCTATATTGAGACATCCCAAGAGGAAGCAGAGGTGATTGTAAGCTGCTCCGAGATTCCTTCAGGTAGTGAAGGACGGCGTATAAAACCTCCTCTTCCTTTTCTTCCTCTTCTCCTTCTTCTGCTGCTGCAGAGTGAGTCTACCATTGCAGAAAAATAGGAAGGGGTCAGAATGTCTCCCCAGAACTATCCTGAGTGGAAATTATGGCTTGTATCCAATCAAACACATATAAAACTTAAGGTTTTTAGTTTTTTAAGGAGGGGATGGAAATTTGTTCCTTGGGGTCAGTGGAGCCTCAGAAACAGTGTAGTGAGAGACTGCAACAGGAGGAAGGAATTAGTGGAAATTTCTACTCCCTTTTAAGAATGTGTCCTTAAGCTTTTTTTAATGAGGCTGGATACAGTAGAAGTCTGTATGTTGAATAGACAATGCTGGACCTGGGCCCTAGGGTTGCCAAGTCTATTTACCTTGGCAGCAGGGGAGCCTCGCCGAACTCCAGGAGCCGTAGGTGGACGTGCCCGTGCGTGACGCACGACATCGATCATGTTGAGGGCGTGGCCTCGATCGTCAGAGGGAAAACCATAGAGTTTTCCCTCCGACATCGGGGCCACGGCCCCAACATGATCGACGTGGTCGCATCACCTCTGGTGACGCAGCCACGCTGCGCTTCGGGGGGCGGAGTTCCCCCAGGGGCCCAATTCCGCGGCGGCGGAAATCGGGCCTCCAAAGCGGGGGTTTACCCGCCACCCGCCCCCACTTGGCAGCCCTACTGGGCCCACAAGGGAGGAGGGCCTGCAAGTTGATGAGAAGTGAGCATAATTCTTAGAGCTCAGGTCCTCCTCCCACAATCATTGCTCAACCATTCTTTCATCTCCAAGTGACTACAGGGGAAGTGAAGAAACAAGCTCTGAGTAGCTTTCTCATGATTAAGTCTTTACAAGGGAAAGGAGGGGGGGAGAAAAGAATCCTTGGCTACCCCAAAATTCCTTGCGCATCTATCCTTTTTAAATTTCTTTTGAAATTGTAAGTAGAAAGATAAAGGTGAGTTTTATTCAGACAGGAACAAAATCACCACATAGAAATATTGTACAACATTCTTTATTTCTTGGTACTTTCTTACTAGGAAAATGAGTGTGTGTGCCGGATAACACATCTGCAGGATGAACTGAGGCATCGAGACCACCATATATCTGAACTGGATAAGGAGATACTTGCGCTGCATGAAAACATAAGTGCACTAACCAAGGAACTGGAGTTTAAAGGGAAGGAATTGCTCAGAATACGTAGTGAATCCAACCAACAGATTAGGTATGTATATTTGAGGCATCAAGTAGCATGCTCTAATTAACTGATTACTCAATCAGAGACAACATAGTACTTTGTTTTTGAGATGCTGCATGGGATATTTTAGCAGAGAGACTCGGAACTGTTGCATCTATATGAATCCATTTGATGTCTGCTGACCTGAGCAGCATAGTCTGAAGTTTGGATTTACCACTCACGTGATACTGCAACTTGCATAGGTCAGACACTAGCTGTTTATTCTATTTATTAATTTCCAACATTCTAACTTTCTGCCCAATCAGGGCTACCAAGGCAGCTAACAATTCAAATCAAAACAAAAATACATATATAAAACTAGGGTTGCCAAGTCGAATCTTCTTACCGGCGGGGGATTGTCGCCGGGCTCCGGGAGCTCTGCTCCGATGCGCACGCAAAGCGTGCGTGCGCCCCCAGCACGTCTTGGAAGTGATGCGCAACATTAATCACGTTGGGGGCATGGCCCCGATCGTCGGAGGGAAAACTCTATGGTTTTCCCTCCGACGATCGGGGCCACGCCCTCAACGTGATCGACGTCGCGCG